CCATGAAATAATTAAATGCACACTGAAATAATTATATATATTTTTTAATAAAATGAAGACGTATTTTATTAATGACACATTTATATATTTGATTCCTTATTTATTTAATGAATTACACATTTAATTAATTGCTTATCGCTGTATTTATTTATTTAATTGTGGCACTTTATATTAGTGACGTGGTTTTAATTCATGAATGACACATTTATTTATTTAATTCCACATTTAATTAATTGTTAACACATTTAATTATTTATTTAATGCTGTATTTATTTATTTATTTAATTGTGGCACTTTTTATCCTCTATAGGATAGGACATAAAACACTTGTGTTAAAGTTAGTGTTGTGCCGATGCCATTTTTTGGCACCGATACCTGGCTGTGCAGTATTTGCTGATACCATCTATTTGAAATTGATGTGTTTGTGTGTAGATATGAAGAACTGCATACTTGGATGTAAAATAGTTGCCATCATGGCTTTGTCAAGCTGCTGCCTATCTTTGTGAAGCAGGAAAAAAGACTAATACAAAGGGAATCCCGTAGAACTTTTATTGCCTACCTGGGATGGTTGACAATAGTTGAATAAACTATTGGCTCTTAAAATGGTATTGGTGTCCTATTTGTTGGTACACACTGATACCGATACCACCATTTTACTGCTGGATCGGGGCCCCGCCCGATACTGGTATCGGTGCAACACTAGTTGAAGTAACTAAATAAATGCCAAAAGCGGGTGCATTACTCTTTTCAGTGTAGAACATCTTCTGATCCTTTAGATGTAAAACTATAATACTATAACCTTGAGCCCGGCGGGCCGGTACATTCACAACATTCACATTGTGTTTCATCCACATGCCTTTCAAAACGGGGCCTTAAAATTTCTAAAACATGTTTTAAAATCTTTTTTTTTTCACAAAAACTTTTTAATAGCTGTAAAAATCTGCAAACCAGGTTTGTCCCACAACACCTGTGACTGATGTTGGGGATGTGTCATAATTATTTTTGCAAATTTTTCAACAAACGCTTCTGATTCTAATTGATTTTTTTACGTTTTTGTACAGTTTTTTATTTCTAATTCTTGTTTTCAAAAAAAAAAAAAAAAAACAGTTTGGTGAGAAAAAATACTCAGTCCATCTTTTTTTCTATTCAGTTTAGTGATACTGTGTGTTCAATGGTAAATTTGAAATAAACCAACGGCTAAATCTTAGGAGCATAGGCTTTGCCTCATGCAGAAGGTCTCCAATAATGTCAGTCAGCATACTGGTCTGGTCTGATTCCCTTTGAAAAAAATTTATTTGGCACAATTTGGCCACTTTTGGCACCACTGTGCCAAAATCACATTTCCGCAAAGCACACTGCCCCCTAAAACCTTAGCGGCACAAGCATGCTTCAATTAATTCGGTCCATATGAAGTTTAGTTATAGTTAAGATGGGAATCTATAAAGTCTAAAGTTCATCCAAAGTTTCAAATGGGGTTTCATGGTGTTTTATCTCGGAAAAAATGTAAAAAAATATTTTTTTGCCTCGTCATCATGTCTATAATAACATTTACAATAGTGGTTCCACCTGAAAAATATTCATCAATGCCTTTCTGTTATGCAAATACAAACTGTTGTATTTCCAACTATATATAGTTTGGGAGCTGTACTTCCTTTAATTCACATTTGTAATTTCAGGCGGATTTTGCTCCTAAAACCATCTGGGCTAAAGGGGTTAAACTTGTATGTTCTCTGGTTGTTTGTTAAAGGCGATTATAGCAGGATGACGATAGAGGTGAAAAATATTTTTGATGCGCAGGGAAGAGTTGCTTCCCTCCATAAAAATCTAGTCTTATAGTAATACATTTTCTATCCAATTATCCACTAAATGCTACCGGGATGGGGTGCTTTACTCCACTAGATGACACCAAGACTGAGCTTCTGTTTTAGCTCCTGTATAAAAAAAGAAGTGGATAAACGCATCATATCCAGTGTTGAGTATGGTGGAGGATCGGTGATGCTTTGGGACTGGATGATTTTTGGAGTCACACCAACAATCTTTAAAAATACTAAATAAAATGAAAAAACAGGTTCTGGGCATGCTTTGGTGGCGCAGTGGTTAGCGCACACAACCCATGTATGAAGGCCTTAGCCTTTGACGCGCGTGACCGGGGTTTGAATCCAGCCTGTGGTCCTTTCCTGCATGTCTGTGTTGCTCATTAAAAAGAGCCACTCGTGCTGTAAAAACTAAAAATATGAATAAAGTAAAAAAAACTGGCCCTGGAAGTTTTAGGCATCTCCTTGCTGCCAAACATCTGACTTATACGGAGAAATGATGAACAGGCCTGTTAGGATAATTATCATTGCAATGTGTGAGTTTATTACGCCCTAATATCAGCTTCCTGTTGCGTGTCAGAACTGATGTTTTCCCCAGAAGTTTATCAAATTAGCACAGTTCCTCTGTCCAGCTATATACAGTTATCTTCATTCTGTATGCGGCAAAGATTTGGGAATAGAATGAGAGCGGCATCCTTCAGCTAAGAATAAAGTGTAATATTGCGATATGGCTGGAGCCATGGATGTCTCCTCATCTGCAAACATGTATGATGTAATGATGTGGCAGACTGAAGTATAAAATGCTTCTCTAACTGTGAATCATGGTCACTTCACAAGAAGTGAGTCCAGTTGGTGAGCAGCTGCCTTCTGTGACCCTAAGCAACTTCTCTGACCTGAGTAAGATTACAATTTCTATCAAAATCAGATGTGCTGCAAACCAGAGCAGTCTAAAACAGGCATAGCGGGTTGAGAACCACAGATCCAGAGAATTTTCCAATCGACGCAGTAACTGTTGATCAGACAGAAAGTCTTCCTTGATCACCTCCGCTCTATAGAAACCTGTGAGGTGGTCAAGATCAGGAGAATGAAAGAGAGGAACTGGAGTCCCTGCACTGCACGGTTTTCTTCAAACTGAAGTTTGACCACATTTCTCTTATTTTAGCCTCTAAACACTGGCTGTCTTTCCTTTTTACATGATCTGGTTTGCTTTAAAGCTTTTAATGGCCGTGCTCTACATCCCTACACAGCCTCCTTTTCCTCCAGGTCGGCTGATCTGATCACACTAAGTAGCCTCAATGGAGACGCTACTTCTGCTCGACTCCCACTGTACTCCACCTTGGTTCTTTAGCTGTTTAAAATCTCTATAAATTAACCTGATTTTATGCTGATTCTACTAAATTTTTTTGCTCCACCCAGAAAATGGAACCAAATGGAGCGCTGTTTTTAAAAATATTTTTGTGGATTTAATTTTTACGGTTATGAAAAAAACTATTAACATTTGTTTTTGTTTTTAAAACCCATTTTCACAGGTGATATGAGGAATCCATCACTTTTGCTGGAAACCCAGTAATAGAAACACAGACTGAAATAACCCACCAAACTCAAGACTTTTCTTCATTTTACCTTTTCATTCGTACGTACACAGATGCTATAATTAAAACAGTTAATCTGCAGATCACGTTTGGTACATTCCAACTGACAATCTGTTTCTGTATGGAATAAATACAGACGACCTCATTTTATGATTTCTGCACAGAAAGTAGATGATAAACCGTTTATTAGTTTGCTTTTCTTCCTGAAGAAATGGCAAAGAAACCTTTCAGTAAAGCCTTGGAATAAATTTTAACTGAGAACAAAACCCCAAGGAGCAAACAAATGCGACAATTTTCAAATTTTATCATATTAGACCCATAAATGTTGAAACTGCATGTCAAAGACATTTTTTTTTTTGTCTTTAACTAGACAATATGAAGCCCTTACCTGTCTAATAGAAGCAGGTGGTATTTTAAGTACCGGCAATGCTTGGAAATGTTTTAACATTCATTTCAAACAAATAGTGAATGTATATTTTAAAGTTGGACAAATCAGCTCAAAAAGTAATAAATATTCATCTTCAGTCTTTTCATTAAACTGAAACTATTTAATTCAGGCTTTATGTATACCTTAATTCTGCAGAAAAGCTGAGGTGTGGGTTGTAGCTGCAGTTCCCCGTTTCCAACAGTAGGAGTCACTAGTAATGTAAACACCAGAAGCAACCTAAACAGAAATTAAGGGGTTTTTCTGCCAGTAAAGCTGAAATCTACATCTTAAAAGGATTTTTTTCAACTTGTTCGGAAAACCGTTGAGGACGGCTAGCAGGTTCATCTCAGAATCCAACAGAAACGAAGGCCATTTTGATTCCTGGAGGGGGTCGATGTCCATTTAGAGGTATAGGAAATCTGGAAGCCCTTTAAGCTCGGCCGTCGTGGTTGAGCGTTGCTTTCTCCATGCGTCTGTACCAGTGCTTAACTTTGGTGTTTTCCATCATGTCATCAAACGCCTGAAGTCCCTCCATAACTCGGAGGACTCCAAACACCGCCTACAGGTGGATGAAAACCGAGCAGCTGGTTATCAAAGGTGAATCTAAGATGACGGTAAAACCAGCAGAGCTTTTCCTCACCAGGTCTGCCAGGTTAGGCTGATCTCCACCCATGAACTTCCTGTTTTTACCGATGGCTGCCACCCAGTCATTGACGGCCTTATAGAGATCCTGCCTGACGTCGTCCTGCAGGTTGTGTCTGTTGGGCCAACGATGGGAAAATAAGAAGAATTTCCATCTAAAATTCCTCAGAAACAAAAACTAAACACTAGTAGAAAACGTACCGACTCTTCAGTTTTTTTGAGATGATGAACATAGCAGCAGCACCTACGTATTTGGCAAAGAAACCTTCCACGGCACCAAACTTGCCCTCGCGTACGATGTAGTCGAAGGAGGCCAAGGCTTCGCCGGTGGTTCGGTAAACGTTTGGGGATATGAGGTGCACGAGCCAATCGTCGGCCCACTGTCTCCACTTCATCTCTTCTCTGAAAACAGCACATCGTTATAGAAATGGTTATGGAAGGAGTCGTTTGGTCGCCTTCGCTAACGACCGTCGTATTCGGTTTAGGTCAATCCTACCTAGATATAGGTAGGCTTACCTATAGGCTTACTGCACCAGTGACGTCACGGTGCGGTAAGCCTAGCGCCATTCTCCCTGCTTTACAAGCAAAATCAATGGGAGCTACTAGACACATCTGCAATCAACAACAATTACTGAAAATTTCGAGAGGACTTCACCATTGAAATCCACCAGAGCTATAGTTAAACTGACAAAGCCCACGTGCATGGCAGCTGGATGCTGCAATACATTGGGTAAAAGTGAAGAATAACTTCCATCTCTTCTCTGAAAACAGCCCATTGTTTTAGAATCGGTTATTGAAGGAATCGTTTTGTCGCCTTAGCTAAAGAGCGTAGTATTCGGTTTAGGTCAATCCTACCTAGATATTTATTTTCTTCAGTTAATTTAGTCAAGATTAGATCAACGCTCACTCTAGGGCGGAGGTCATCAACAGGGGGTCCATGGAGGTACTGCATGGGGGTCACAAAACTTTTGGTTGATTAGATGTTTTTAATATATTCCCCCCTGTAATTTTTTTCCAATAATTGAAATGTCTTTAAATCCACATTAACATGAATTCAACACACTGTAGTAAACAGAACAGAAATGGAGGCAGAAGATGTCTTTCAGTCATCAATGCACACATTCAGCGACACACAGGAGCTCTTTCAAGCTGGGCACCGTTTCATTCACAACATCTGTCCCATCAACCAGGAATCAGAAATACTCTAATAATCCCAGGGAGAAATTACTTTCGTTATATTAATCCATATGTAATTTGGGCTACGTTCACACTGCAGGCCTTGATGCTCAATTCCGATTTTTTTGTGAAGTCCGATTTTTTTTTACGTTGCTGTAGACATTTCCAAATATATGCGACTTGTATGTGATCTCCTCTGTTAACTGCAGTCATACAATGCAAGGGTCCTGCATGGGCAGTAGAGGACGCAATGACGTCACAGGCCAACATGCTCTATGTTTATGGAAGTAAACATGGATGGTAGTGCCGGCGCGCATCTAGCAGTCTTTTCTAACCATAAAAACACAATCTTTTCAAGATGGTAACACATAAATACTGCTCTTCGCATCATCATCGGCCATGGTTGTTGTTTTTCTTGCAGCTTCTGCGTAACAAGACGCAGAATAGTGACCTTTGTCGGGTATTAATGACGTTCAGGTCACAGGTCGCAATTGAAAAGATCAGATTCGCATCAGATTCAGGACCACATAGCCAAGCGGCCTGGGTCGGATTGGAAAAAATTGGATCTGTGTTGTTTAGACTGCCATGAAAAGATCAGATCCAGGTTGCATATGGGCAAAAAAAATCAGATTTGGGCTGCAGTGTAAACGTAGCCAGAGTGACTATAGGACCAGTTTGATATAACAATATATATAATTAGTGGGTCCCAGCTCCATCTCGCCATCAGTTTGGGGGTCCTTGGCCTGGAAAACGTTGAAGACCTCTGCTCTAGGGGAAAAAAGGGTTGACTCAGAAACTGAAGGTAAAATAAATAAAAAATTTCGTTTTTTTGTTGCTTTGCATTTATCGGCCAACACCTTCAACTTTCCGCCTAATAAAACAATAATTTATTCCTGGTGTGTCGCATTTCCAAAGTTGTGGTACTCACTTCTGCATCCCCTTGGTAGGATAAACTACGGCATTCTGGGCCTCGCTCAGCATGAGCCAGTACTTGTTGTTGTACTCCGTCACCTCCTTCCCCCGATCATTCACAGCCTTCATCTCCGGGTAGCAGCGAATTATATCAGACAAGCTTTTCTCCCTGGAATCACAAATATATTCAAGCCTCTACTGTGACAGATGTTCATTTAAAATACAGATTTAGTTATTTATTTTAACCTCAACAGTTGTTTTTTGTTGCCTTATATAAAAGCTCAACTTTCAAGGAACCTTTACCTCAAGATTCACTTTTATGGAGAAATAAATACAGAAGCTCCAGTGCATATAAGCAGGAAGAGCAAATATCTGTAAAACTAACCGAGTGAATGAGCTGTTTTTTATTTTTTTATTTAGAGGTTTAGACGATCTACTAAAATTAAGGCTGCAACTAACGATTATTTTGCAAATCGATTAATCACTCGATTATTTTTTCAGTTAATTGTTTATTAATCGGATAGCAAAAGGTTCCTTAAATAACCTTTTTTTATGAATTTAAAGCAGGTGAGACTCAAACTTTTCCACTTGAGGAATTCTTGATGGTGCATATTGACAGACAAAAACATTTCTTCATCTTAAATGCAAAATTTTAACATTTCTTTTACAATTTTGGTAAAATTTCTGCTCTACGTAAGTCACTCTGCCAACTAAAGACACGTTTTAGAGTCTATACTAATCTATTCTCGATTAGTGATGATTAATCCGATTGTTTCAGCCCTAGCTATAATAAATACTTGACGTGTTGGATGATTTTCTTAGAGCAAACAAGAAGAAATGTTTTCCACTCTCCAAACCTAATGTAATATTTTATTTTTTCACCTAATAAACAAACTTAAACATTCATGTGACTCCTGATAGTCAGTTTAACAATAATGATGAAAATCTTATTTGAAACATCAAATACTAGGCCTGAGTTTTGGAAGAGGGGCTGCGATATGATACGCATCACAATACAATATTATCATAATATTGCAATATTTTTCCCAGCTATCGCAAATAAATTTATAGATAAAAAAGCAAGTGCTGTATATGTTCATCCGAATAAATTGATCACTTAGTATTTTTGGTGTCCATGTTGTTTGGTGTTTGAGTCAGTCGACGTCTTTCACTGTGACCGCCTCAACTACAGATATGACGCTGCGCTTCACAGCTAAAGGGCCTCACAGCTCTATCTGCTGGAGTGGAGGGGCAGAGGTTGCCCATTTCCCCCCCTCATTGTTTTAGAAAATGTTTTTTTTTTTTTTCTAAATAGATACTAGGAACCGAATGATTGATATATCACAGGGTTCCTACAGCATAAGGCAAGTTAAATTCAAGACTTTTTAAGACTTTTTAATGCCACTTAAAATAAAAATTTAAGACCAAATTCACAA